GTCTTGCCTTTCTCCTGTCGTGGACTCCTCCTAGGGCTGTGTCCCCGGGGGATGTGCTGGCCTGTTTTCTGTGCTGATGCAGCACTGGCCTACTCCTGGTGGGCTGGCCGCTGGCCCCAAGGAGACACCCTGTCTTCCAGCCTCGCCCCAGCCCCTTCTTGTCTTCCACTTGTATAGCTACGGAAACTGAGGCAAGGTGCACTTTGGGTTAGGTCTTTCTGGTGACTTCTTGATTCAGGGGACTGGGCCGAGGCAGAGAGCAGGGCTTTGGTGTGTGTGAGGGTAGTTTTTTTTTTTTTTTTTTTTGAAACGGAGTCTCGCTCTGTCGCCGGAATGCAGTGGTGGAATCTTGGCTCCCTCGTTCACCTCCTGAGTTTAAGCAGTTCTCCTGCCTCAGTCTCCCCAATAGCTGGGATTACAGGTGCTTGCCACTACGCCTGGCTAATTTTTTGTATTTTTAGTAAAGATGGGGTTTCACCATGTTGGCCAGGCTGGTCTTGAACTCTTGACCTCATGATTTGCCGGCCTCAGCCTCCCAAAGTGCTGAGATCATAGACGTGAGTTACCACACCCGGCCAAGGATGTTTGAGAAGCCAGGAGTGGGTTGGGGGAGAGATGGAGGTGCAGGCAGGACCTCTGACCTAGGCTGGAGGCCAGGAGAGCCGGGTCGACGTTCCAGGCCACCATTTACTGGTCATGTGACCTTGAGCGGGCCTCAGTTTTCTCATCTCTAGAATGGGGGTGAGAATCAAATGAGACGCTGCAATAGAATGTTCGGGGCTCCCTCTGAAGGCACCGGCATTGACTGAGGGGTTGTGTGGCCGTCCTGTCATCCTGCAGGCCAGGGTGGTCCTGGGTTGTGCGGTGTATTTGGCAGCTCAGCCCCATTGGGCCCCTCCTGTGCACGTGTCACCACCTCAACCCGACAGACCCCGCTGCCCAGCCTTTCGCCAGGCCTCGGCCCCCTCCCTTAGATGGTCTGTGAGCCTTTTGCATCCCTGCCCCTTGCCCCATTTACATTGGGCCTCCTTGTTGCCCCAGCCTGTGGCTCTGGGTAGCCCTTGTGTGTCACCTCTGTCCCTCGCAGGGCTGCTCATCTTTCCCTGCAGGAAGCCTCTGCTGAGCCTCCTTTGCCCCCTTCCCGGCCTCCACTAAGAGTTTCTCAACTCAAGTTGAGATGGCCCAGGGCCCAGCACACACCAGATCTCAGAAATGCTTAGTGGGGCTCCTGGGACTGCTTGGCCTTTTGAGGGTGACCCTGGTCCCTTGTTTCCCCGCCCTGGGCAGGTGCCAACATCGCCTCTGGTGAGGAAGTCGCCATCAAGCTGGAGTGTGTAAAGACAAAGCACCCCCAGCTGCACATTGAGAGCAAGTTCTACAAGATGATGCAGGGTGGCGGTGAGCGCGGGGCGGGAGGCGGCAGGCGCCGGATGGGTGGCGGCAGGTGTAGGTGGGAGGCGGGTGGTGGGGCAGGCATGGCTGGCTGCCTCTGACCCCTGACAGAACTTCTCTGCTTGGCCCCCAGTGGGGATCCCGTCTATCAAGTGGTGCGGAGCTGAGGGTGACTACAACGTAATGGTCATGGAGCTGCTGGGGCCCAGCCTCGAGGACCTGTTCAATTTCTGTTCCCGCAAGTTCAGCCTCAAGACGGTGCTGCTCCTGGCCGACCAGATGGTGAGTCCCTGTCCCCTCTACCCCCAGCCAGGTACCTGTGGGCCCAAGATACCAGCCTGGCCTCCTGTCTCCAGAGGATGCCAGAGGACAGGCCTGGGCCAGGCGAGGTGGCTCACACCTGTAATCTCAGTACTTTGCGAGGCTGAGGCAGGCGGATCACAAGGTCAGGTGTTTGAGACCAGCCTGGCCAAAATGGGGAAAACCTCGTTTTTACTGAAAAGAGAGAAATTAGTTGGGCATGGTGGCAGGCGCCTGTAGGTAGTCCTAGCTACTTGTGAGGTTGAGACAGGAGAATTGATTGAATCCAGGAGGCAGAGGTTGCAGTGGGCCAAGATCATGCCACTGCACTCCAGCCTGGGCAACAGAGAATGACGCCATTAAAAAACAACAACAACAACAAAAAAAACTAGAGATGGGGTCTCACTGTGAGACCAGTGTGACCATCATGGTGAAACCCTCTGCTAAAAATACAAAAAACTGGTTAGGCGTGGTGGCATGCACCTATAGTCCTAGCTACCTGGGAGGCTGAGGCAGGAGAATCACCAGAACCCAGGAGGTGGAGGTTGGCAGTCAGCCAAGATTGTGCCACTGCACTCTAATCCGGGCAACAGACTGAGACTCCATCTCAAAAAATAAAAATCAAAAATCAAAAATCAAAGGCAACAGGGCCGTGTGTATGCCTGAGTTTGGCATCCTTCAGAGGCCCTGTCTTTGGTCCTCCGTCTCTGTCTCCCGTGCCTGGCTTAGGCTTCCCTCGTGTTCCCTGCCTGCCCTTTCCCTGCATCTGTTGTCTCTGGTTCCCTAAGCCCTGTGAGTGTGGAACAGGGCAGGCAGGCCTTCCACGGGGACCCAGCTGCCTTTCTAATGAGCTCTTCATTTCTGGATCTTACCATTAGCCTCCCTGCATTGCTCTCTCTCTCTCTCACAACCAGTTTGGTGAACTCCTTCAGAGTTCATCCCGATGGCACTTTTTCCAGGAGGCCTTCTCTGGCCTGCCCCTTGAAATCATCCTTCATAGTGGAAGGCAGACCTTTCTTCCTCTCCAGGGTAGGGACCAGGTGTATGTTTTCCATCTCTGTGGCCCCAGCCCTCGCCTGGCCCAGAGCGCTGGGTGAGGGCCCCTCTGTCGAACACCTGCTGAATAGCCCCCTACTCCCCAGATCAGCCGCATCGAGTACATTCACTCCAAGAACTTCATCCACCGGGATGTCAAGCCCGACAACTTCCTCATGGGGCTGGGGAAGAAGGGCAACCTGGTCTACATCATCGACTTCGGCCTGGCCAAGAAGTACCGGGATGCCCGCACGCACCAGCACATTCCCTACCGGGAAAACAAGAACCTGACCGGCACGGCCCGCTACGCCTCCATCAACACGCACCTGGGCATTGGTGAGGGAGCCAGGCCTGGAGCAGTGTGCACCTGGAGCCGCTGGCCAGGGCCCAGCTCTCTGGAGCCCTCCCACCCGCTACCTTAGTGGAGACCCCCGGGCTCTTTTCTAGTGAGAAAGTCCACACCCCATCTGCCCCCCGGCTTGGGCTTATTCCCTGTCCTTGCAGTCGGGCCTTCCCTTGGTAAGCCAAGCCGTGTGCGATGGGTGCACACCCTGGCCCCGCTTCCTTCTCTGCCCTGTTGAGTGGGTGAGGACACTTCCTATTGGTGCAGGCTGGGAAGCACAGGCTCAGAGGTTTAAACACGAGTTGCTTAAGGTCGTGCAGCTTAGCGGATGCCAAAGCTGGGTTTGACTCCAGCCCTGGCTGATGCTGAAGCTTGTGACCTCTCCACGGGGTGGACCAGGCAAGGGGCCAGTAGGTGCCCACTCACAGGCATTGAATGAGTAAGTGCCTGAGCTGGAAAAACTAGGGCCAAATTAAGTTGAGAAGGTCCTGCCTTAGGCTGCTTCTCTGTAGGAGGGGAATAATAGCAGTGCCTGTCTTAAATGAGTGCAGTGAGCAACATGGGAGGGTGCTTGGTGCATGGTGAGGAGCACGACCCAGAGGATGAGCTAGGGGCCTGAGTGGACCCCTGTCCCTCACCTGGTCTTTGATTCCCTGTACAGAGCAAAGCCGTCGAGATGATCTAGAGAGCCTGGGCTACGTGCTCATGTACTTCAACTTGGGCTCCCTGCCCTGGCAGGGACTCAAAGCAGCCACCAAGCGCCAGAAGTACGAGCGGATCAGCGAGAAGAAGATGTCGACACCCATCGAGGTCCTCTGCAAAGGCTATCCTTGTGAGTAGCCCAATGGGAGGGGACACGCCTGGGGGCCACTGGGGCGCTGTCTAAGGGAAGGTGAGGCCATACAAAGCTCACACTGGGGCCTGGCATCCTGGCTCAAGCCTGTAATCCCGGCACTTTGGGAGGCCGAGGCGTATGGATCGCCTGAGGTCAGTAGTTTGAAACAGCCTTACCAGTATGGTGAATCCTCGTTTCTACTAAAAATACAAGAATTAGCTGGGCATGGTAGCAGGTACCCGTAGTCCCAGCTACTGGGGAGGCTGAGGCAGGCGAATCGCTTGAACCTGTAAGGCGGAGGTTGCAGTGAGCTGAGCAACAGAGCAAGACTCCATCTTAAAAAAAAAAAAAAAACAAAACCGGTACTAGGTTGCCCCAGCCCTTGGCACCCAAGCAGTAACCCCTGGCTCTCTGCCACTCCTTGGCACAGCTGGAAGGCCTGGTTTCCCTGGCCTGGGTGTTACACCTGTTGCTCCCCAGGCCATGTTCCTGCCTCATCTCCCAGCGGCCCTCTCCCCAGTTTTTTTTGAGAAGGAGATGGAAGTTTTCCTCCTCTTGCTTAGGTCATGTGGGAAGGTCCCATCAGGCTCCTGCAGTCCTCTAAAGTTCATGGCAACAATTGATCTTCAGGTCCCAGGGTGCTTGGTGAGGGCAGCCAAAGAGCTGTGGGCATGGCTCCTGGAGCCGGCTGCATGGCAGAGGCTCCTGGCCGCTGTTGGCAGGTCTTCCCTTGCTCGGAAAGTGGCAGAGGCTCTGTCCCAGGCAGGCCAGGCTTTCATCGTGGTAGGGAAGGCTGGGGTTCTGTTGCCTCCTTTTTGTTCCCCCTGTCAGATTGAAAGTATCTGTAGTAACAGTGGGTGGCTAGGACAATGCTGGCTGCAGGTGCTCTGGGAGTGTGGCCCTCATGGTGGCCCTCTCTGTCCCCTGCAACCCCCACCAGCCGAATTTTCAACATACCTCAACTTCTGCCGCTCCCTGCGGTTTGACGACAAGCCCGACTACTCTTACCTACGTCAGCTCTTCCGCAACCTCTTCCACCGGCAGGGCTTCTCCTATGACTACGTCTTCGACTGGAACATGCTGAAATTCGTGAGTCACCTGGAGACCAAGGCGGGCTTGGGGGACTGGACGGGGAAGGCCTTGACTCATAGGGCCAGAGTGAGCTGGTGGCGGGCGGGGCTCCCGACAGACAGGAGGTATGAGCTGGACAGTGTGGTTGATGTCACTGGGGTCCCGGAGCCCTCCTGCCTCATCCGTGCTGATGGCTCGTGCCGCCATAGGCAGCAGGGCCCAGGCAGGGCGCTGCCTCCCGTCGGAACAAGGAGGACCTGGCATGGCCTTGGGTCCCTCCTGGGTGCCCGAGGTGAGATATGGGTGCTGCTGGCGGTGTCCCCTGCCGCCCTGATCGCTGTCTACACTATCCTGCTGCTCCTGTTCTGCACGTCCCAGGCGGCTACCTGCACTGAGGCCCCTCCGGCCAGCCTGGACCCAGTCATGCTGCTTTCTTTTTTCTTGGTCATGGGACCCTGGGTCTGGCTCGGCAGTTGTTCTGTTTCCCTCCTTTAAGAGTCCTGGGGGTGGGCTGGGGAGCAGCATTGGCTGGCTGTGCCCAGAGCTCTGGAATCCGTGAAATTGTGTATCTTGTTTCACATCTCTTCTGGAAAAGGGGGCTTCCTTGAGCCAGGCTCAGCCCTGTGACAGCCCCGTGACAGCGAAGGGAACATTCTGTCCCCACCCCTGTCCCTGTGCCGGGCCCACATACCCACCCACGTACTGGTAAGGATCCTCTGAGGCCTGGCTTTTCCAAGATTTACCACTTGACCAGGGAGCGCAAGAGGCTGAGCCTCAGCTGTGCTCTCTTTGTCCCTTCCAGGTGCCCGGCGCCCCTGGGCACCCAGAGCCCCCCAGATAGGCCCATGGAGGAGGTGGACGAGCTGCTCCCCCAAAACTACTGGCCTGTGGTCTGGACTCCAGGGCCCCATTTCTGATGTCGTCAGGTGTGCCTGAGCCCATCGGGGCCAGGCCTGAGGAAGTGTTTCTTGGGTAGAGGGGATGGTGGAGAAGGCCCTGCCATGGGATCCTTGGGAAGGAGCCAGCCGCCCGAGGGCCAGGACAGCCTCAAGGAAAGATGGCAGCCACTGCCCAAGAGGGGCGTGATGGGAATGGGTCCCAGGACAGACTCACAGCCAGACCCCGCCGGCAGCCTCTGTATTGAACCTGAACTCATTAAACACCACCTCTTGCTCCATCCTGGTGAGCCTATTTCATGGCAGGGCCCTCGGCCACCTTGCCACATGGTTAGGACCAAGGCCTTGTTCTCCTGGAAGCCAAGTTCGGCACACTGGTCTGGGCTTCTCTTCTCTCTGGTTTCAAGACAGTGATGTCTCGTTCACTGGGAAGTGAGAGGTCAGGCAGAGAATGGGGGTCTTGCAGGCCAGGGACCTCAGGGAGAGAGGCCTCTGTTACCTTTTTCAATGGGTGGGAATGGGATAGGGCCAGGTGGTGCCTTCTCTGATTTTACCCTAGACCTTCTGGCTTCAAATGAGGCTCAGGGCCCTGGGGCACCTGGGACCATTGCTTTCCACCACAGGGCATTGGGCATTGGGCACCTTCTCATCGAGATAGTCACTCCCAAGTCTGGTTTTACGATGGGCTTGGCCCTCCAGCTCAGCACGACTCCAAGAATGGATTTGTATTCTCTTAGACTGACACTGTCCAACGTGGTAGCCACTGGCTACATGCGACACATTTTTAATGAACTAAAATTAATCAAGACTGGAAATGTCAGCCAGGAATGGTGGCTCATGCTGTAATCCCAGCACTCTGGGAGGAAGAGGACGGTGGATCACTGGAGGTCAGGAGTTTAGACCAGCCTGGCCAATGTGGTGAAACCCATTTCTACTAAAAATATAAAAATCAGCCGGGTGTGGTGGTGTGCACCTGTAATTCCAGCTACACAGGAGGCTGAGGCAGGAGAATCACTTGAACCCAGGATGAGAGGTCGCAGTGAGCTGAGATTGTGCCACTGTACTCCAGCCTGGGCAACACAGCAAGACTCTGTTACCAAAAAAAAAAAAAAAAAAAAAAAAAAAGACTGAAAATGTCGTTCCTCAATCACCTCCGACACATTTGAAGTTCTCAGGAGCCAGATGTAGTGGCCACCACATCCCGCAAGGCAGACTGGACCATTTTCTTCATCCAGAATGTTCCGCTCCCATCACTGCTCTGGGTGTCTCCCTTATGGATTCTCGCAAGACTGTCCAGCCAGCAAGATCTCTTCTCTAGCCAGGCCAGGAGCACCTCTCCACCCAATGCTGCTGCTCTCACTGCCTTCCTGGAGTCCCTCTTGAGGCAGGCTCTGGAGTTAGAAGCTGGGCAGAGGTGCCCCTGGCCTTATCCTTTGCCTATCTGACTCATTGCCACGGCCACTGTGGTGAGCTGAAGCACTTCCAGCAGCCCCCTGGCAGAAGCACCTGGAAAACATGCAGTCGGAACGTTCACCCTGAGGCCAGGCCCCTCCCACACCCCCGACAGTAGACAGGACCCCTGTGTTCAGCATTGGGGTGCTGGGATCTTTGGGTCCCTGGAGCCTTGAAGCCACTCAGCACATACAGCCACAGTGTTCCGAGGGCCAACCAGCCGTCCAGGAAGGAATTACAGCCAAAGACAGAGGTCCATGTGATGACAGGTGGATGCTTGCTGACCTTTTGTGTTTTCTATGGGCAATAAAGGCCAAGAGAGCTCCCTGCTGTGCATTTCTTGTATCCTGTGGGTTGGATGGGACCTTGGAGAGTCACCCGCTTCCTGCCTCTGGGCTGGCAATGGCCTGAGTCTACTGGGCTCACGAAGGGCAGGACCTCTAGCCCTCCGCTTGGCTGGTGGCTGCAGGGCTGCACGCCTTGGAGCGAGTCACTCAGCCTCTGTGTCCCAAACTAGGGAATGAGATTGACCGGCCTCGCGGGGTTGGTGTGACCCTGCCCGCAGGAGGTTCAACACAGAGGTACCGTGGCTCATGTTCCTCCCCAGGCTTTGCTGTGGCTCTGGCTGAGTCACTGTTGGCCAGCCTGCAACTGAGTGGCAGCCCAGGGTGAGGACCAGAGGTCAGGAGTTGGAGCCCTGGTGGTCCCCGGCCTGTCTTGAGAGGCTTCTAGGTGGGAGGATGAGAAGATGTGTCTCTAGAGTGTTCTGAGGCAAGGCTCTGAACGGTGACTTCTTGGGGTGCTGAGAGCAGAGTGGGACTAGGTGGCAGAGGCCTGGGTTCAGATCCTAGCTCTTCGCTGAGCTGTGTGACTCCAGGCAGGTCATGAGGGGTTTCTGGGCCGTGGTACCTCACTAAGGTTCAGGGATCATTCTAGTCCTAGCCACCACTTCCTGGAATTCCTTAAAGACAGGGCCCACCCCCACCCCCACTTCTTGGCCAGTCTCCTGGGAGAGATGTGGGTGGCAGGAACCACACCCTGTGGCCCATGAGCAGGCCCCCAACTCAGCCCGCAGCTCTCTCCTCCACAGATGCGGCCCCCCTCCTGCCAGCCCCCTGCCCTTCCCTGCGGACGGCCCCGGGATGAACTAGGTAATGCAGATGGGCGCTGCTCCCACACCTGCTCCTCTCTGGGCCTTTCTCACTTCCTCCTGCGCAGGGGGCAGCAGTAGCTGGAGAGCAGGGCCCCTGAGGGCTCGGGGTACCTCTTCTGCTCCAGCCTTGCCTGCTGGGCCTCTTCTTTCTCCGTGGGGCATGTGACTCCATTTTCTTCTCCAGCTCCTCTTGAGCCCCCGTCCCAAAGCAGGCAGTGATTCGGTGGGTCCCCTGGGTCTTCTGGCTGCGGCCTCCACTGTACCTACCAGAAGCCATTGCCAGGTCCTGGCAGGGGAAAGACGGCTCCCTGATGAAAAGAGCCCCTGGCTGGGCACTGGGAGGGCTGATTTGAGTCCTGGCCCAGCCTTCCACTAGTCTTGTAACTCTGGACCTGTTCTTTTTCCCCTCTGGACACCGCTAGCCAGTCTGCTAGAGGCCTCTCACCAGCTTCCCTGCTCGGTGTGGTAAACACTGAATAGTTCAGAGCTCTCAGTACACAGAGGGGGATAGGGCAGGCCCAGCCCAGGCGGGGAGGGCCAAGGGGTGCTCTTGATCATCCTAGGGGCATTGGTTGTCCTGGCTCTGGCTCCATCCCAGGAGAGCAGGGCAGACTGACCTCCCTCTGCCCCCAGACTACTGCCTCCTTCCTCCAGGTGGTTGTGTGGCTTCTTGTCCCTGCTATGTGATCATGGCTTCCTGCGCTTGGGGGCGAGGCTGGAGCAGAGGGTTTCTGAGATGCCCATGCGGCCTCCCTCCCCTGCTGTGCCCTGCAGGGCTGCTGGGCCCAGAGCACCCTGGCCACTGGGGCTGACCAGTGTCCGTTTTTGCTTCCCTGCAGGGTGCAGCCCGGAACCCCGAGGACGTGGACCGGGAGCGGCGAGAGCACGAGCGCGAGGAGAGGATGGGGCAGCTACGGGGGTCCGCGACCCGGGCCCTGCCCCCTGGCCCACCCACGGGGGCCACTGCCAACCGGCTCCGCAGTGCTGCCGAGCCTGTGGCTTCCACACCAGCCTCCCGCATCCAGCCAGCTGGTGAGCAGGGCCCTCAGGCAGCGGGCTGGTCTTAGGGTGGGCAGGGGGTGCTGGGTGTGCCCACTCTGAGCGTGGCTTCCCACGCCTCTCCCTTTAGGCAATACTTCTCCCAGAGCGATCTCGCGGGTGGACCGGGAGAGGAAGGTGAGTATGAGGCTGCACAGGGGCGCGCCCGCCAACGTCTCCTCCTCAGACCTCACTGGGCGGCAAGAGGTCTCCCGGATCCCAGCCTCACAGGTGAGCTGCCCCCTGCCAGTCCCCCTGGGCCTCACGCTGAGCTAGAAAGCACCCCCCCCCCAGGGTGAGGTCAGGCCTCGGTTGTGTTCTGCCCTCTCCACTGACGCTGCTTGCCTTGGAGTGAACCTGTCTGTTGAGCTGGGACTTGACCTCATTTAATCCTCTGAGGTCTAATGAGCCCTCTTGAACACAGTCATTCAAGGCTCAGAACAGTAACATTCCCTGGCAGTGGCACAGCTGGGCTCAGGCCCTCGCTGTCAGGGGCCCAGCCTGGGTGGGCAGCAGGGGCTCAGAGATGAGGTACTCCTGCTCCCTGGCATCAGGGACCCCCCCACCGCAGGAGCCTCTGTGAGCACTGGCCAGAGCATGGGATATGAGAGCAGTGGGGTCCCATCCACTTTGTGGCCGTGTTTGGATGGGAACACTTGGGAAAGGGAGAATCTGCTTACTGCCCAGGGAAGGTGACCTGGCAGGGGCGGGTGGGAACCCTGCCCTTGTCCTCCTGCCTGTGGAGGGGGTGCTCTGGGCCCAGCAGCCCTGCATGGCACAGCAGGAGAGGGAGGCCGGGTGGACATCTCAGAAACCTCTGCCTGTGAGCAAGGAGGGAGTTCTGCGAGAGAACCCTCCTTGGCCTTCTATTTAGGTGGCAGACTTAGCTCCCTGGACAATGTTCCTAGAGTCATTGGGGCATCTTAGAGTCATTGGAATCACACATCGCTTCCCTTGGCTTGAGGGGCTGTGTGGGGGTGCGGGTAGAGCTCCATAGTGGGGAGAGATTTGCCAGGTGTCCATTGTCAACAGCGGAGGGACTTGACTTGAAGCTTGTTCTTCTCCCTCCCTCCCCCGCCCTCAAAAGACAAGTGTGCCATTTGACCATCTCGGGAAGTGAGGAGAGCCCCCAGTGGACCAGTGTTTGCTTAGGTAAGTCCTTGATGCTGTAGATGGAACCCGCCCAGCCGGCCCTAGAAGCTCTCAGGGCCCCGGAAAGACCAGTGTGTTGTGGAGGGGGTGGGTGGCAGTGGCAGATGGTACCAGGCGCCTCAGAACTAGGGGACCTCAAGGAGTTTAAAACCTCAGAGCCTGCCTGACTTGGGACCAAGGGTCTCTCTGCTTAGGCCTGACCCCACATGGATTCATTTCTGCTGGAAAAACTCTTTTTCTGCCTCTGGGCCAGCCCTCTGTCTCCTTTTGCTGTAAAGTATTCTGGAAGGTTGGTTCCCAGCAGACGGGGGGCCATGGGCACACACGCTGACCTCTCCCAGGGCTTTAGCCCAGTCTCAGCCTCTGGGCTGTTACACAGGTTAATTCCTGCACAAGACTCACAGCAGGACTGTGGAGGAAGCGTAGGAGGCCGTTAGAGGCCCCTGCGGGCCTGGGAGAGGCCCTCTGGCCAGTGCGGGCCTCCTG